GATATTATATATTACATTTCAAATACAAAATATTAAAAATAAAATACATAAATATTACTTTACTTGTTATTTTTGTACAAATTATATTTTGCACATTTTTTCTATTAAAAATTATAATAACAAAATCTATATAATATACGATTAAGTTCTTAATCTTTATATTTTTTCATATATGATTATATGATAAACTTGTTTTACATTGTTCTCATGAACCATATAAATTGGAGTTCAACACGGCGTATGAGTAATCCGCTAAAACTAACTGCACATTCACCGCACACTATTCAACCCTGAATCTAAATATATAACTCGCACACACACCCATGCACGCACACGCACGCACACACACAAATATGTCAGGCCTATCAAAGCGAATGAAATGATATGAGCAACGGTTAATCCCAGCGCCAGAGCAGCGAAACTGGCAGCTGCAGAGCCGCAGGCAGCAGCTAATAAAATGTAAAAGGAATGCGAACACAAATATATAAATAAATACATAATAAATGATTGTCAGCATTTTCTGTATTCGTTTCGTTTTTATTTTTTGACTCATAAACAGGCCAACAAAAAGGAAATAGAAACAAAGCTGCACATAAAACGGTAAAAATGCTCGCAGCGACCGCAAAAAGACAAACGTAGCAGCAGCTGCACGGCAGACAAAGGCAGCAGCAGCAGCAACAGCAGCAACAACAACAACAGAGATGACGATAACAGCATAAACAGTAGCAGCAGAGGCAGCAGCAGCAGCAGCAGCAGCAGCAGTCACAGTGACCACAGCTGCAGCAGCAATATAAAAACAGCGACGTCAGCAGCTATATAAACTCTATGAATTGCAACTACAATAACAGAATAAGCAACAGCAAAAGCAGCAACAACATCAGCGTCAGCGCTAAAAAAAAAAAGCTTTACACCAACAGCAGTGCATGTGACTGCAAAAGCAGCAGCAGCAATAAAAGTTGAGCCAGCAGCGGCGGCGTCAACGTCAACGCTAGCGCCAGCGCCAGCACAACAAAGCTTTGACAATAGACGCTGCTAGTTGCAGCGCTGCTAACGCCAAAGCCAGCGTCAGCTCCAACTCGAACAAAGCAATAACCCAACAGCAACAGCAACAGCAACAACAACATGCGCAAGTAAGCGCCGAGCAGCGCCGTCGGCAGCGGCAGCGGCAGCAAAGTAAACAGACAGAGAAAAACAACAATGGCAAAGCGCAAAGACAAACATAGCGCATAAAACAAAACAACAAAAAAAAAGCTTTAGCTTTTAACGATGACGTGCTGAAGCGGCAAATGCATAGAAAGCTATTTTTTTTTTCAGTAGTATTGGTGTCGTCATCAAACCAAACGGTTCGAGGCGAACATGTTGCAAAGCACAGAGCAGAGCAGAGCAGGCCAATGGGCAGCAGCGAATCGCAAGGCTCAAACATACGACGGCGCTTGAACGAAACGGATGCGAACGCGCAAATCGGAACGCAAATCGGAAACTAACGGCATATCAAAGAAACACACAGATTTGCGCGCCAAACGGCACGAAGAATTCAAAAATATTCGGAGAAAAATTACCTTAAATAAAAAAAATCACAGTTAATATAAAGTAAAGTGAGTGTATGCATATGTGTGTGTGCGTGGCAATAAATTTACAAATTTTGCTTTAAATTTTACTTTCGTTTTTCATTTTGCTAATTTTTTTCGCGAAATTATTCGAGTGTAAGAAATTTGCTAAAAATAAATCAAAGAAAATAGAATACAACAAGTGCATACATTTATATGTATTTATACGTGTGTCTCACTGTGTGTGAGCGTATGTGTGTGTTTGTGTTAATACAAATTATCGACCAAATATATAGAACGGTTGAGCAGCGCCGGCTAAATTAACTTCCCACTTTTTTGTTGTTGTTCATGTTGTTGTTATCAATTGGCCTGGATATTGACCGAGAAGTTCATTAACTGGCAGCAGGCGGCCACATGCCACGCCCACAACTGCTCTAAACAGGTAGATGAGATATTTGAAATAAATAAAACAATAATTAATTATTTCTCTATTCGGCTTTTGTTTTTTATTATTTTTATATATTGTGTTTTTTCTATTCTTCGGTGATTTGTTTGGCTTTCGGCGGCGCCACGCTTTTCCTGCCTAGTTTTTCCGGCTCTTAAACATTGCGACGCCTAAATTCATTCGCTCATTTGGCATATAATCAAGCAAGTTCCTAAATATATTACACACTCGTAAAAAAAGGGAGCGAACCAAAGGAAACCCGAAAAAGCAGCAGCAGAAAAAAAAAACAAACAAATTCGAGCGTTAAATGAAGGAAAACCAGAATAAAAAAAATCGCTCATACGCAACGTTGACCGCGCACCCTTAGGGAGAAATTTGGAAAGCAGTTGGAGCTGGGCCTGGGTTGGGGCTACGACTGGGACTGTGGGTGGTTGCATTAAAAATGCCGAACCATTTGGCTGCCAGAGTTTATGGCAGGCCGCCGTGTGCTTTTTTTTTTTTTTTTTTTTCTTTAAGTCGACTTTCGACTCTGAGCGTTAAATAAATACATTTCGCAATGATTATGTCAGCTGTAAAGCATTTTGGTAATCCTTGGGGGTGCCGTAAAGCACTTGCCGCCGAATGCAATCAATTTTCATTCAGCACAACAACAGCCTCCTGCTGAGGCTAGTCAAGCACTCCAGAGTGTCGAGGCGAAAGAGAATTTTGAACTTTTCTTTTGGCTCTAAGCCGTTTCAAGTGGATTCATTCAGATTCCGGCTAAAGGGAGATTTCAATTTGCCAATGTTTTTGCTTGGACACACTTTGAATTTGATATTTCAATTGCAATTGATTTCAATTATGCTAATAATATGTTGCACATGCCTAACATAATGTTATTTAACAGTGCACTTCACTGAAGGCTCAGTTGCAGCTATCAAACTAAGTTTATTTATTATTTATTTATATCGTTTCTATTTTGTTAAGTACAGTACCATTAAATTAGGTTATGTTAAATGATAAAACATATGTTAAGAAAATATAT